TTTTTTTTGTGAACATGGTTCTTAATCCCTCCCATCCGAACTGAAACCAAGCTCAGTTCCCGGTCAGATTGGTCTGAAGGCCAGTCTGGAATGATCGTGCTTATAGATACCGCTCTTTTACCTAAATGGACATGTCAAGTTGTCATATGTTTAATTGGTCTATTGAGTTAACAATTCTAGCTACATGTCAAGTTGAGAAGTCAAGTTGTCAGGTGCATAGTTGGTCTGTCGAGTTAACCTATCGAGCTACATGCCAAGTTGACATGTGAAGCTGTCAGGAGCCAAGTTGACCCTACAAGGTACTTAGTTGACCTAGTGAACTACCAAGTGCCAAGTTGACCTTGTAGATCACAGGTTGACCTACAAAGGTGTGAGGTGTCTAGTTGACCTTGCTAGATCATACTTAGCTGACTTGCTGAGTTGGTCTACCAAGCTGTCGTGTTGTGTTGGTTTTGTTAAGATGACTTGCTTAGTTGACCCTACTTGGTGGGTCAACTTGTCATCTGCATATAGAATCATTAGATCCTCATTGAATTCTGATATGGTTGTCTCCCAATAAAGACCAACCTCCCAAACCCAACGTCTCGTCATGTGGCGAACAGTGACACTTGAGAACCCTGCCAACTATTGGTCTCCTTCTCAATATCCTCAAGGGCCGACAAATGGCCAGATGCACCTCCACCTTGGTCCAAAATAGAGGTTCCTCGGCTATCGCTAGAACATAGAGTTGGCTGACATCCATGGTTGGAGAGTAAATGAAGTGCTTAATCTCATCTGCAAAAAAAATAAGATGTTATTAACATAAAAAAGAATAAATCAACTATCCAAAGATGAGATTTTCTCATACAAATTATTATCTCCATTTTTGGTGATTGGACAACAACCTAGCTGCACTTGCTGACCAAAGTTAGAAGAGCCACACCTTCGCGTGGTTGAACCTATGTCATTGTGATTGTTTGAACCTGTTGCAGTTTTGACTGATGAGACGATCGTTGGCAGATTGGGTCCGGAGCAAAGACCAATGCACCAAAAGTTTGTGCACCAGTCTTGTTTCCCTCCTCACAAGGGGCAACGAGTCAGATGACTCGGCTGTCACCTTCGCTCTTTCTTTCTTTTGGATTGCTTGCTTGACCAGTTTTGTTCCCTAAGGTGGGAACCCTCCTCCCGATCTCTTTGATTCAACTGGCCTTCCCTTAGCCTATGACCTCTTTTCTGTTGATCGCCCCTCATCCATGGAATTCTTCTTTGTTATCTACTGGGCACTCTCGAGCTTCTTCTTCTCTCTTGCTGGATGATGAAGTTTTCGGACGAACCTCAAAATTGATTCCTGTCTCACGAGTTTATTTGTGCTCTCCATCGCTATTCTTTATTGAAAACCAACTAAAGTATTGAAAATTTAAAAATGATGATGAAAAAAGTGCAGCTCACACCCTATTTATAAGAAATAGGGACAAAAAAATTCAGTGAGTTAAATTATTAGAAGTCTATATTAAGCAATAAATAAGTCAAATTTTTGCATGTAATGCTCTTATTCTTATTAAAATTATCACTTTCATGAAGTAAGATAATCAGGTAAATAAATATGTACATAAAAAATATAATCACACAAATCTCGAGAAGAATCAACAAATTCCACTAATTAGACACCAGAGGACTGCATCAGGATATTCAACATAAGAAGACGGCTAGCATCGTTGACTTCAATTGGAATCATGAGCTGACCGAATGAAAGAACAAGAGGCACTTCATTCAAGGGATACTACATCTAACTTTCTCGCATGATTCACGAATTCTTCACAAAGATGGCCAAAGGGCACCCTAATATCTTTCCAAACCTCTGAGAAAGCCTCTTGTCTAAGGCGTGTTGCCTGTTAAAATAAGATGATATGACCCCTACATGACGGTCCAAGTACACCCTTACAGCTGGCTATAGGGCTTTTACAAAGGACTTTCTCGATGAGGTCGACCGAATGCCCTATAGTCGACTAAATAACATAGCATCAGTAGGTCATTAAATGCTTTCCCCTCTTTTTGCATTTACCAATATGAATGACACTAGCATTAGTTATGGATATTAAAGGGTCTCTGAGTCAGTTAAAAATATGAAAAGATGCAATAAGTGTTTGTAGCATTCCTATTAAAATAAGGATAAATATGCAACTTAACTAGATAACCCGATGATCTATAGAAAGGGGGTCCTTTCTTTAAGAAAATACTACTGGACTTATTCTTTGAGAACTAGTGTTAATGTGTAATATATTTCTCCTTCTCTCTGTTCCTCTCATCTATCAAACACACTATTCCTTGAGGGGAGGAGAATGAGTAAAAATCTAGTTTTGTTTTGGACTGAAGATCAGACAAAAACTTCCGACTTCCGTAGCTGCAGACAGCCGTCCACGCCCGTCAACTGCTGCAAACCATAGTTGGCGCCTCCCTCTGCTCTACCCCATTTGGTGGGCTCTGTTGAACAATGAAAAACTTTGTTGAGTAATGAAGTATTATATTGAGTAGCCAACTATCACA